CAGGTTGAGTAGGGCATCAATATTTAATCACCAAGGTACCTAGTCCAAGCACTGTGGCATCTACCAGTTTGTCAGGTAACAAAACCAAAACATAGTACTGAGAATGACTTTTATGTTTAACACTGGAGCTATACAAAATTTGTATACAGTACACCATAGCAGCACTAGGGCTTTACAACATCCCCTGGAAGGGGGTATTAGACAATTAAAAGTCACTACAAAGCATTTTAATACATTGTAGGCTCAAAAGACTCCTTGCATGAATTTAATGCGGTAAATCAGAAGTGAATTACCTGCCAATTATTGGCCCCCAGAAGTCCTCCTGTTGTACCACTGAATATCAGTTCACTACCATTTTCAGATGAAAAATATTTAACAACTGTACTGTATCTCTAAAATAAAACCATAAACCAGCTTCTAGAAATATGACTTTTGATTTCCTTTATTTTAGAGTGTGTGCATACTGTAACTCATAATGAGTTCTGGGGTTACTTAATTGATGGCTTTGGGGTATGCCAGCCTCTTTTAAAAGATGCCCTGCTTTATTGTGCAGGAGAAGGAGCGGAAGAGGGCTGTCTGTTTTGGGCAATGAACACAAACATGGCAGTATGAACAAGTACTTTATATGAAGCAAACTTCATAAGAAAAGTTCTTATTCAACATTCACTTTCTTTTTATTTAATTTTGAAGCCATAAAAATTGCAGAGCTGTATAAACCTTAATTTATTGAGCAAACTGAGGGTATCAAAGTATCCTATTTATTATTACTTACTATCCTGCAAAAGGCTGCCTTTGTAACTATAAAAACATCCCGTAAAATGTACACATTAAACTGTCAGCTTGCATGCCTTCTTTGATGTCTTTGATTTGATACTTGAACCTGCTTTCATTTTCAGAAAAAAAATGTTTTTAATCTTAAATGGTATGTTTGAGGCACACCTTGAGCAAGGAGCAACAGTAGGGGAGATGGGAGAGAAATTAAGAGACAGGATTTGCCACTTTAGTACAGAAGGTCAGGGATCAAATTGTTATAGCAACTTTTGCTGGTCAGATGTTTTTACAACCAATTACAGTGTGCCTTTTATTGAAAAGAAAATAACAGTACCAAACCTTTTAAGGATGACTTTGTCATGCAGTGACTTGGGACATACTTGGTGACATAAACAGACTTTGGTGGTTTAGAACAAAATGGAAAGGAAATATTCTTTGCAGTGATCACTTGTACTTGCACTTCCATAAAATGTAAACCATGGTTCATTCTAGTGGAGCAGCACATTAACTTTAAGTCCAGAATAAGCATCTCCTTTGGTAGGGCTAGGATGGGGTGGCAGGCTTATTTCCAGCCTACCTTGGAATTATTGGTATATGGTATGCAATTGAATGAACTTTCATGTTTGATAACATTCAATGTCTCCCAGAATCTGCATTGAGTTTGAGGGAATTAAATCATGATGGGCTTTATAAAGTAATGGGGTAAATTAGAACATACATACATCCTACATTATTTTTGACCCTTCAAGATTTTATGTAGACTAAAATATCCGCAGTCCAATCTAATTATTTTAATTTGCCTTAGGAAATCATTTGCAAGCCATTATAAAATGGTTTGCTCCCAGATTCTTAGCTTAGCCTGATTTTTTGATGTTACATTCTAATATAAGCAAGTCATTTTCCCCAACTTTCTAGTTTATTTATTTATTTCTATTCGGTATATTTATTATACTGGGGTGTGAATATGACAACAAATTGAAGCTCTGAGGAAAAATCCTACTAATCTATTTCTGTGCAGAGTTTTGGCCTCAGAATATCTTTTTAAAGCTCAGTGTGTAGTCTAGCATAGTTGACTTTGCTTTCAAGTGCTACTGTTCCCAACTATAAGAACATTTGAAGATGCTGTCTTCTCTAGCAGCAAGCAAAGCTTTCTGGAATCTGCTGTTTTCAGGAATAATTTGTGGGCTATTTTGAGAACCAAAGCCAGTTTATTAAAACTGAACAAAACAACCTGGAGTCACTATAATCTGTGAATATCTACATAGAATTCTGAGGCACTAATTGCAAGATGGTTTTATTCAGAATGCCAAGAAGATAAGTCAACCCCTTTATCCCTGCAATTGTCCTTTAATTTATTATTCATCTTGTTGTGTTCAGTGCTTTCTGAAAAGGACCTTTTTCTCAGTGCGATTAGAGTGATTTGAATTTTTTTTAGGTTCATTTGTTTTATTTGGGTTGTCAGGATTTTAAAAAAAATAGATGATGTGATTTCCTTCCCCATCCCCCCCCAAATGGGTAACATAATGGAACATCAAGTGGTTGAAAGAATATTTAGGTGGTACATAAAACAGTATTTACCAAGTTACCATCACCATACAACTTGAATAGTGGCTGTAATCTTTATTAGAACATCCTTTCATAACTGCTTTTAGATATTTGATGGACAGTACTGCTATATTTGGAGAGCATCAACTTAGAACTGAACTAATTCTTTCAGCCATCTACCTTCTCTTCATCAGGCTTTATATAATTCCCTGTTTGGAATATATTTGGCAGAAAAAGATGTTACCACAGTAACATCTTTTTTTAAATAGAGAAGATTAAAGAATTTTAAGCCAACAAGGTGATATATTATTTTAATTGATATTACATAGTCTCTGGATTTTGTTTTTGTAATCTGATGCTTAATTGTATAACTTTTCATACAATAATGTATCTTGAAGTACCCAAGTAACCATAGCTTGAGATGAACTAGGGCATGCCTTACTTTTTTCTGAACTTAATTCCTACTCAAGGAAAGAGAACAAATCTTCACTAGCTATTTAACTGTCAGTAGCACTAGCTCATTTTTTCTTGCTTCTTTTCTGAATACAAAAACATGACCACAATAATATCAGCAATCAAAGGCAATCTTATCATAGTATGACTTTCTTTTTTAGTTGCTATTTCATGCTGTGTTTCCTGTTTATATATTTGTATGTGTTTTGAATGCCACAGAGCATCAAGTCCCTCAAATAAATACCACAGAACCTGAAACCTTTCCAGCTTCTTGGATTAATGTATTTATAATTTGCTTTCAGTGCATGTTAAATATCTGGCAGACTCCATCTGGGGTCTGATTCAGCATTCCTTGTTCTCAGAGATTTTAACTACATTGAAGTCATTGCTTCAGGAGCAGTTAATTCTCACAGTGTCAATAGGAAAACAGCTTTGTATTAACTAAATTCAGAATGGTGCATGAGTGCATGCAACAAAATACAGTATGCTTGTTATCTTGTAAAACTACCTACTGGCCCTATTTGCAAAAGAAAACCTCTGTGTTTCTACCTTCTGCACATTTACACACAATATTCTAAACTCATTACCACATTTAAAGAATCACTAATTTATAAAACCAAATGGGGTTCTAGCAACAAAAAACCAAGATCCAAATAATGGTTGGATGAGAAATGTGCAAAAATCAATTAAAAACCTCTGGAATGTATAAAAATAATTATGCCTATTATTCTTAAATTTCTTCATGAAAACCAAAAAAGGAAGTATAAAGCTTTACTGAAAAAGAAGAAAAGGAAAGTTCAACAGACATTCTGAAATCAGTTGATCCAGAAATCAAAATATCTACCAGAATCCAGAAGAGCCCTGTAGGCATTCATTAACTCAAAATAGTTCTTGAGTCTGATTCTAGAGAACCATTATGGGACAAATTGGAGACCCCATCCATTGATTGGCATCTGCTTGCACATATTATATTGTTGAGCAATAATATCCATACCCAAATAAAGTCAGCTTTCTGCTAGTTCTCAGAAAGTTTCACAGCTGTGCATTTTAGCTCCTAAAAACTCATAAATCCAGAACATTATTTGGGCCGGCAGACCTATTGTTTTAGTTTTATAGTCCGATGATATAGTAGTGATTATCATATCTTCACCTACACTGAGGAGGGCATTAAGATCAACTATCTCCTATTGCCCTGATAATGACATATTTATTAATTTCAAAAAATAAAAAATATGGTTTTCTCAAAATGATAAAAACATTAGCAGAAATGTTATTTAATAGGTTCAGTCCTTTAAATATCCTGGAGGCTACAGGCACTCAAAGGGTCCAAATTGAATCTTTGAAAGAAAATGTAAAAAAGACCGTAGCTGTCATCTTAAGATGGATGCACAGACAGAAAAACACTATGTCTATCACCCCAGCAATGCTTACTTTAAAAAGAATTTAAGTTTACTTAGGTTTGGGGATATGAATTTGGACATAGGCAATCCTAAACAGATTTCTGAGTGCTCTTTCCCCTCTCTAAGAAATGTATCCAGATAACAGTGCAGAACAAATGAAAAAAAAAATGGTATGGAATTAATCATCTGAAATTGTCCCCCAACTCCCATCACTGTGCCCTAAGTCTTTTTTTTTTCTTCTTTGTTTAGAGTGTTTGTTTCTATCAAATTCTTTTTTGTAATTTGGATGGCTTAATTTCTGTTAGAAAATAGGGAACAATATTGGTGTTGAGGTTTTTATGTAGCCAACAACCCCATCTCTCTGCAGCCTCCCTGCTGCTCATGCTTCTCTTTGAAAAAACCCAATGGGAGCAGTTCTCTTTATGTTAAATTGAAATGTGAGAAGTTAGGAAGGCTGGAGACCACAAAGAGATTGTATAAGAAAAGAACAGACACCTTCTAGCAGTCCTCAGCTACTCACTGCATCTAAAATAATTTCTTTTTTCCTCCTTAAAAAGTGAAAGAAATAATTTTTGAAGCATATATAATCTGGATGTCACTATTATTTTTTCCTGTCTGCCTACTTAAAATACTTTAGTGTATCTCATGTTCTATTCTATTGCATTGAGATAATGAACAGAGTGCCTTTATTTTCTCTAGGCAAACTGAAGATTTTGGTAGCAAATCTTCCAGAATCAAAATGAACACAGGTATGCATTTTCATGGTACAAAAAATAAGCATATTGTTTAATATAAGTTACGGCTGTTTTGAAGAACTTTACATACGGTTTTTGCTTTCTTATATTTGTGCATATGAAATTCTGATGTATATTTCTCAAGATATACTTATGTATAAATATATGCATTTATACATGCATATGTAAATAAGAATCTGCATTTCATTTCAATATATTTTCAGATATTTAGTAAAATATATTGGGGCAAAGAACATATCCATAACACATATCCATAACAAGATAGTTTTTTTTAATGGTGAGCCATTTACTTTTACAATAATTTAATTATTACTTACTTATTTTGTTTAAATTTATCTACTTGAGTATTTTACATTTATAGTGTGTGAAATAAATTATATACCGTATTTTCCAGCGTATAAGACAACTTTCTAAACCATGCAAATCTTCTCCGAAGTCAGGGGTCATTTTATACGCCGAGTTGTCTTATACGCCGGAAAATACGGTACGCCTTACATTATGGCATTTTGGAAAATTATATTTAAAACCTCTTGAGCAGCATGATGGCCTAGTGATGAAGACGTTCACCTCCCATTCAGAAGGTTGAGAGCTCAATCCTAGGCAGCAACAGATATTTCTTTCTCAGAATGTGATCTCCATGTAGGCATCAGGAAGGGCATCTGGCCAGTAAATGTTCAGCTCCATTCAGTCACCCAGACTCTGAATAAATATCTTGGCCATAACCCCCTCCCACAAAACATAGCCCCTTTTGCATTCCTCTGTATCACAGTCAGCAAGGAGAAGTAGAAAGAAAATCATAAATATGTAACCAAGAATATGAAAAGAAACATATGGGAGGAAGCAGTCCTTAAGAGTTAATGTTCTTTCTGCTGTTTTTGAGGCAGCCAAATGGGCACATCATTCTCTATTTTAAGAGTAGAAAGAGTTTGGAGTACTATAAAGGTGAAACCCAGAGATAGCTGATTACCCTAAAATGAATCTAAAGTTCTACTTTAGACCATAACTACACCATTTAGTTTTCTAAAAACATTAATTAGAGGTTCAGCTCCATTGAAATAAAATATAATCTGAATTTGAGAGGAAATTTAATAAATATTTTACTAGCAGGCCTTTAAGCAGCCACCTTAAAAAAACAGAGATCAAGTATTATCTATTTTAAAATCCTGTATCCACACATTACTCCAAAACCAATTAAGGATTAATCTGTATTATTGAAGGAACACAGCCATTCTGTTTGTAATAAAAATTAGTGGAAATCCTTTTGAATTCTATGACTAGTATTAAGTATATCCACGAAAGTCTCCTATCACAATTAAAGGGATACACCAATACTTAAGTTCGGCTGCATGCTGTCCATCTCTTAAACTGTCTTTAAACAAAATAAATGTTCCATTTCTCTCAGATTTCCACATTATATAGACGTACAAGCAATCCAATAATATTCAGATGATTTGGTTTCAGTGCAATTATTGATAAACATTGACCCAGCAGATGGAAATTGAAATCTAAAGCATCTAGATTTCAATATATGCCAACCTTTATTTGAGATATTGCTCCCGACTGGGGACTGCTGATTATGAGGCACCTGAGCAAGCCTATTACTATTCATTTAAAGCAGAATGAAACACTCACTTTTCCTATTGCCTGGGACAAAACGTATATAGTGTGTAAAATACAATGGTATGATCAAAGCAAGATTCATGCACCGTTTTCATATTCAGATTTCTCAAGTAAGTGAATCATTTTTCATGGATGGATTTTTTTTAATCATTGTGTTTTACGAACACTATTGGCATCAATAATTTGATTCTAAAATTATTTTTTATAAAAAAATAATTATCAACTATTAATGCATACTTGAGAAATACCGTATTTTCTGGTGTATAAGATGACTTTCTGAACCATGAAAATCTTCTCAAAAGTCGGGGGTCATCTTATACGCTCAGTCGTCTTATACGCCAGAAAATACGGTGATTCAAAAAGGTTTAATATAAATTATTCAGTTGCAGATCTAAACTCCTCAACCAATTTGCAAAAACTTGAGAATTTAACCTCCTTTTTCTGGATTCCAGAACAAAAATATTTTATTCATAAAGAACTGTCTGTAGCTGCAGCATTGCTTCTTCCATTCCATAGTAGAGCAAACCACTTGTAGGGATTTTAAAAGCTGATTTTAAAAATCCCTAAAATGCTACTTGCACATTGTTCAGCAGAGATAACACATATCCACAATCTATAAATAAACATTCTCTCACCAGAAGTAGAAAGAATTCTTGTCTTTAATTTTAATGAGTTTAAACACTTTAAATCCAAGTGCATTAATTTAAAATGGATTTAAGTGGCTGGGTAGACCAAGCTTTCCACTTATCCGGATTCCTTCTAAGAACATAACATTTCAAATAATTTATAAAGTGGGCAGACTGTTTATATGCAACCCTTTTTCTCACATAGATAATGAATGGTCCAAAGTTAATTTGCTTAAGTGGATCTTTAGTGTTCCTCCATAAATTGTTAGGCATGAATGTACAAGGATAATATTGTGATAAATGCATCTCAGTTTAAAATGATTTAATAATCCAACTGCTTTATAATAAATGAAAGACATAAATACAAACCCGGTTAAAAGCAACTACGGCCCTTGGAGAGTGCAAAAATATATGAGGTTTAACTTTGTTAATGTTAAATCATCATCATGCAGAGTTGTTACCATTCATCTTCTATGCTCTCAAAACACATCAAAATAAGTTAGCAGATTATATGCAACACTGAATAAACAGTTTGTTTTGAGAACAGTTCCTAAGCTTAGAATAGCATGTCCTAGACACTCGGCATTATTATCCCAAAGACCAGCTATTTTAGATAGGATCTTTATTCTTTCTTGGTTAATCAAAATCTTCTAGGCTTTCTTTGATTTTGAATGTTTGCCTGCCATCATATAAACATGTAATCAACCAAGCTGGATTTCCTTTAGATGCTGTAAGCATTCCCCTTGCAGTTGGCTTCTCCTTATTCACTATTAATGGCTGAGTAATGGCTGTTGTTTTGCCATGAAGTTGGTCTTGCCATTGAAGCACAAGCCCCAAATCTCCGGGTATTTGTAATATATTTCTTAATCATTGCAAATTAAATTCAGAATTTGTCCTCGCAATAAAACCACCAAGCATACAAAACATACAATCCACCTGTGTTAGATATCTTGGTTCACTTATTATGTTTCCACAAAAAAAAAAATGGACTATGCATGCAAAAGACCCTAGATCAAAATGTCAAATGGGTTTTTGAATGCCTATAATGCATATTGGTATGATGAAAGTTTTCTAACTGTACCATTTCTAGAATTATATTCTTCCCTAGTGGGCTAAGCCAACATGAAGGGAACACTGCCAATCCTGATTTTACAACTCACAAAGTTCCTTGTGATGAATGATACATTATTGCATTTCAGGCACATGGAATGAGTTTCCTGTTTATTTTTGTTCACCTAAAGCAGGGTAAATATACACAAGAATTGTTAGGCTTTTAAAAAATGTAATTAACTTGAAAATAAAAGAATCTTAATATACAGTATTATAGCAGTGATCTAGATTTGTTGGGCTACTCTGGCAGTTGAATTGTAGTTGTACAATTACAGCTTTCTTGTACAACTGCAGTCTTCAGGTACATCCTGAAGGACACCAGAATAAATCATACAATATCATATTGTGCAGTATGCCCTAAGATCCAAGTTGGCTGAGGATAATAATATTGCTAGGATTGGTCTGTTGCTTTGATTTACTTTCCTCCCTGGACTCTTCCTTGGCTCTTTTCTGTTATATTAAGTCATACAATTTGATTCAAGATGTGTTTAAGTGATCTTTGTTATGTTATCCTTCACTAATCATTCTTATTTGAAGGTTTCTATTATTTGCAACTTACCTTATACCAGCATCTGAATAAACAGCAGGCAGATTGACAACTATGCCTTTGTATGCCTGTTTAAACATAACATAATATCAAAACTGATCAACTGCTTCTTTAATTTTATTTTGGGAATAATAGTTCCCAAAAGGAGGAAGGGAAGGGAAGTTAAATTCAAGATTTAAAATAAGTTTGTAAATGCAAAATCTCCAAGATTCAAAAATCTTTCCATGCATAAATCCTCCAGTAAATTTTGACTGGGAAAATTTTTTCCCACAGTTTCTCCAATTACAGCCAGCACTTTCTGCCACATTTGTTTCTGTTAAGTAGTTCATAATCCTGGTGAGAAATTTCATTGCACTTTCTGAAGAAGAACTAAAGGGGCATTCTAGCACTATCACATACCCCACAAAGTACTGTAAATCAGGAATAGTTACAACCCTAGACACTTCAGAAGAACTTGCAGCAACCCAGAGTTGTGACTATTTCTCTCCATTTAGGCAAAGGCTGTAGTGTTTCTAAAATAAGCTGTGTTTTTGTTAAAATGAGAAAACCTAAACTTCTTTCCAAAAATCCAGGAAAAGAACCTTAAAAAGCTGCTGTACCCATTTTCATCTTTTCCCTTGTAATTCTTCTATGTACAAACACCAAGGCTGGCCCCCAACCACCAAAAGGCTACTCACTTTGAGATAAATAAATGTTAAATGGTTTCTTTTATCTTTTGCGTGGAGCAGAAAGATGGTTAGATAAAGGCAAAATGTTACCGTACTTGTCCATGCATTTCTGCCTTCAGTAAATATTTCAGGTTATCATTTTAATAATCTGAATCAATATTATATTTGTTTGGTTTTTTATATATTTATTTGTAATTTTTATTTTTTATGCCCATTTGTCACACAGTAATTCTGGGCAGCTAATAAGATATTCAGTGACGGCCACATACTGCTTTCTAGTTCTGCATTATGATTACTTCCTTATTTTGATGTGTCATTTTTAATCCTGCCTTTTAGTCTTTTTATTTTTGTGGTGAGTTAGGTACACCCAAGTGATTTTTCAAATACTGGAAAGCACATGCTAAATCTCTTTGGCTGGTGTATTCTTTGGAATGGCATTATTAATTAACAACAGCTTCCTCAACCTTTTGGTACGTATGTACAAGTATCTAGGGATGAACCACAAATTCTAACTGCATGGATTTATGTACACATTTACATATCCCAATAATCCTCACTTTGTACATTGCATGTGCTTGCGTTCTATGTCGTGGGCTTGTGCCTGTGTCCTTTTCTGCTTTCAGATAGTGGTGGGTGTGCTCGCAAACGTGCTGCCATGTCTGTCAAATTAACAGCGGTGAAGAGAGTTCAAAGTTCTCCAAACCTTTTGACCGCAGGTATTGCTGTTAACCATGGAATGCCGCACTTCAGTATCATTGTCTTTATACAATTGTGCATTAGAACTGAATATTAGAAATGGTAACCAAGATCCTCATAATAGTTACTGTGATGACCCTGTCATTTCATCACTGTTCAGTGTTTTTGTTCTAATTATTAGTACTAAGCAGCCTGCTATATATAATGGATATTCCAGTTGTTTAGATCAGGGATAGATTAGACTGATATTTTAGACTTAGCACCTACTAGCATATACAATGACAAAGAATTGTGACACTTGTATTGCAAATTTATGGAACATCAGACTATCACTGATCTAGAAAATGCAGAATAGAAATGAACCAGAAGCACAGATGTTTTAATGTAGTCCTAAACATAGTACTAGAGCTTGCATACATTCCAACCATTTATATGAAATATTAGCCTTTGAGCACATGAGAACAAGCATTATCCACACATCTAAACAATGAAAACAAATTCTGGGTTAACTTACTTTATTCAAAGATAGACTGTTATTTCAGAAAATAAATGCTAGCCAGAAATAAAAGCACAAATGTTCAGAATAAATGTGACATTTGATTATATTTAAATGAAAATTACATGTAATTAATACAGGTAATCCTTGTTCGGCAACCACAATTAGACTGGCAACTCAGTTGTTAAGCAAAGCAGTCACTAAGTGAAACCGCTACTGTGCTCACTCTTTTACTTTAGCTTCTTTACAGACCTTTGAAAATCGGAAATGCAAGAATTGATTGCAAAATTAATTTCTTTTATCACTGTCATAGCTGCAAATGGTCACTAATCAAGGCAGTCATTAAATAAGACTACCTATATTAAACAAAATGAACTGAATTCAGTTAATATCAATTATTCCATTGTAGAAAATGTTTCTTTATATTATTAAACATTCAATTCTACTACAACTTTGGGAAGGGCTGTAAGCTGCACACAGGCTATTTTGAGGGATCACCTGAGATGCTAAGGCCACAGGTTGCACATCTCTAATGTAGAGGCTTCCTTGAATGTTCAACAGAAGCCATTCCAGCAATGACACTTACTAATCATGCTGAACCATTGATTGAACTGTAATTCTGCTTAGCCCCAGGCACTTTAAGGAATTATGTGAGCAGAGCCTATAACTTCAGTGAGAGTCTTCCATTCAGGAAAAAAGAGAAATACTTACCCATGCCAGGATACAATATTGCCCATGACAATAGAAGAACAAGGGCATTGTAATTTTTAATAAATAAACTGGTTTAAGGACAACTGTACCCAATTAGTAACATGCCCCTCTCCCCAAATTTGTGTGCTGAAGCAAAATTCTGTCTTTATTTTTTTCTATTTTGTTCAGACAAAATGCACACTGTTTGTGATTCCTTATTGAAAAAGAGTAGAAGACAATAGGGCAAAACTAGGAAGTAGCTTTCAGGCTTCAACAATTTCACCTAGCTGAAAACAACGTAACATTTGTCATTTTCTCAGTGCCCTTTAGAACATTGGATTGAAACGTTTTCCCTCTGGCTGATAGAAATCATAAACTCGATTTCAGATATTAACAGCTTTTAGCAATTAAATTCAACCCTTAGCTAAATGTTTGTCACAAAACTGTCAACATAGAAAAATGAAATGTGAAAAATGAAAAAAAAATGTGATAACAAAATTGCAAAAGCCATATGTGAAGTCATTTTTTACAAACATTCAAAAACAATCCTAAATGCTTTTTAAAAAACAAATACATTTGATAGTAGCCCAGAGAATTTAATCAGATAAATTATATCAGATAAATTATATTAGAAGATTAATTGTAATTCTGAGTATAATTGAATAGAGCTATAGTTATTGAATTACTATTCTTGTAGTGCAGGGGTCCCCAAGCCCTGGTCCATGGAATGGTACCGGGCCCCGGCATGCCAGTAGCCGGGCCACCCAAACAAGCAAAGCCCTATCTTCAGGATGCAGTCAGCACACAAAACCATGCCCCCTCTGGTCTGTGGAAACACCTCTCTCCGTGGAACCGGTCCCTGCTGCCCAAAAGGTTGGGGACCTCTGTTGTAGTGTCTTAAACTTTGCATAGGCACCAGAAGGGAAGAGTAATTCCAATAAATCAGTGAGTGCTTTGTGGTTATTTTTTAACAGGACATTTGCAAAGACATTATAGCATTGAGAAAACACAGTGTTTTTAGTACATAAACATTATTGTTCAGCTACTTTAGAGGAGTTAATTTCCACTGCTATTTTGGCTTCTTTTAAATTGATTACTAAATAATCTGTAAAATGTTTTAATATGTCTTTTACATAATTATGGTGTTAATTTTAAAATTAATTAAACATACAGTTTTAAATGAAACATACAGTTTAAACAGAGAAAGATATTACAGATTAATGTGTTCTTGCCAAAATATTGTCAATGAAAATGGAAAGAGTTTCTAGATCAGCATTTATCAACTTCAGCAACTTTTTCGGTGTTTCTCAATCTCAGCAACTTTAAGATGTATGGACTTCAACTCCCAGAATTCTCTGACTGATAAGTTGCTGAGGTTTGATAAATATTGTTCTGGATCATTTATTCTTTGTTTTTCGTGAGTGTCCCCCAAAACATTGCTGAGTCTCATGTATTTAATTTTTTTAGTAATTTGTAATCTACCCAGAGAGTTTGGATCTTGAAATAGAAGTATAATAAATATTAGTGTAATTAGTGGTAATTTTTCAGATGTACATTAATATTACTATTCTGCCACCATGGAGGTAGTTAAACCTCAGTTGATGACCTAGTTTTGTATACGAACTGACAAGTGGATTAGGATATATATGAACCAAGTTGTTGAACTCATAAATGAAAGGAAGTTTGGGCTAAGCAAAAATCAAAATCATCAAAAGAAGTTATTCTGTACTGGTTATTTTCATGTACAACTCACTGAGTTCAGTGAAGATTGTTCCCAAAATAGACATTTAAAATTATAATATTTTAAAAAGTGTATGTTTGGTAAGTAAATTTCCCTGAATTTCAGAGACTAAAACAAGTTGTAAGAATCCTAATCTAACTCCCCATATATTAACTTCAGTATTTACTCTTTCTAGGACTTGATTCCCATTCACCAGACTCAGGTAATTTTTAAAAAATAAATTAACTATAATATTGCATGTATTTGTATAGGCATCCATAACAAAATGTCTGTCATGGCATTTCATTGACATGTCATGACTAACATACTTCTGCCAGGATATAAGTACAGAAGGCCAGGATTTGTGTTGTCACAATGCACAAGTTTCATTTTTGCCTCATTATAGAATTTGTACTGTTTGCTGTATGTATGTATGTGTGTGTGTGTGTGTGTGTGTGTGTGTGTATTATATATATATATATATATATATATATATATATATATATATATATATATATATATATATATATGAAATGAATAAAGCGCGTTCACCAGGAGAGTTTAAAGTTAAAATACTTTAATTAAAGTATTTTACTATATTAAAAGGTTGCCAAGCTTTCGTTGGGAAAACTCCCCAACATCTTCAGGGCTGAGAGACCGTTTCTAACAAGGTGATTCAAACGGGTTCCATAGACGTTTGTGCGTGGTTCCTAGACTGTGCTAGCATTCCCTGCTGAACAGCTGATAGGTGGGAGGGGGAATCGGAGTAAAGATTTCTTCCGTCGTTCTCTTGAGCACTTTTGTTCACATTTCCGTCGACCTCAGGGGGTATTGTTAAAGTTATGTTCCGCCCTCTCCCGGCAGTATTGGCTCTCGTTGCAGTGGGGGGGGTTTAGTTTGATGTCATTGTGTATCCTACCATGGAGGCGGGGCTTCATCGGCTGCAATTTAACATCTTTCCTCTGCTGCGTTTGAATCACCTTGTTAGAAACGGTCTCTCAGCCCTGAAGATGTTGGGGAGTTTTCCCAATGAAAGCTTGGCAACCTTTTAATATAGTAAAATACTTTAATTAAAGTATTTTAACTTTAAACTCTCCTGGTGAACGCGCTTTATTCATTCCATTTATAATTATGCCCGGGAGTCGCATTTTCACCATCATTATTGAATATATATATATATATATATATATATATATATATATATATATATATATATATATATATATATCCATCCAAATTTCTTTTTCTGACAAAGAATTAAAGAATTAAATTGGGAGACTAAGATGGCCATTTCGAGTTCATTCTGCTCTCTTCAGTTAGCCACACCCTTTATATATGGAATAAGCAAGACATACTTTTCATCTAATGTTGTTTTCTTATAAATCTTACTAAAGTTGGGAATGATCTTACTATGGACAAGAAACCTTTGAATGTGTGACCTAAAAGTACTCCATTTTATATTACTGAAACCTTTTCTTCTAATTCTAAGTGGCTTGCTTAGATCTAGTCGACTCATCAAGGAAGACTCCATATTTACACAACACATTGATCCACAACATTTGTGACCACATTTTAGCTAATGTATCAGGCCATAAAATTGGGTTCATTGAGTAAATGATTAGGTAAATTAATCCTGGCTCAAGATGTTATATGAATGCAGCCAGTAATTTCAACATGAAGTATAGAATAGTACAGAGTAACAGAGTTGGAAGGGTCCTTGTAGATCATCTAGTCCAGGGGGAGGCAACCTTGGCTGGCTCAGGAATTCTGGGAGTTGAAGTCCACGAGTCATAAAAGAGCCAAGTTTGCCTACCCCTGATCTAGTCCAACCCCCTGCCCAAGCAGGAATCCCTACACCATTCTGACACCATTTTGTTATTAGAAAATAGTATAAAGCAAAAAAAAGAATTGCATTGGTTTAGAACGTAACTGTTTTATTTTTAGCAAAAACTTTTGAAAAAATCCTTATAATTGAAGATACAGACTTTTAAATAAGCAACTGCAGGAGTTTTTAAAAAAAAACCATTGTCATAGACTTATTTAGATATTATATATATATATATATATATATATATATATATATATATATATATATATATATATATATATATATAGGGGGTTAGTGAGTTTTTTTAATGTATTACGGTTCTTGCCCTCTAGACTCTAGAGGAAGTTGTGCATTTACATTTGGGTCATCTCTGCTGTTATCTTCTCCAAGTCAGGACTGTGGCATTTTTAGAGGCATACTTTATTCTTATAACCCCACCCACCACAAAGGTAGATTTAAACGTAGCAATAGCACTTAGACTTATATATGGCTTCATAGTGCTTTACAGCCCTCTCTAAGCAGTTTACAAAGTCAGCATATTTCCCCCAAGAATTTGGGTCCTTGTTTTACCAACCTCGGGAGGATGGAAGGCTGGGTCAACCTTGAGCTGTTCAGAGTCAAATCTCTGGAGTGAGCAGTGAGTTAGCATGCAGTTACTGCATTCTAACCACTATGCCATTGCTGCTTTTAAATGTAGTGATGAAAGCTATCAAATAACTATTGCAAAAGATCCATTTATCTTGTTCCTCCTTCAGACAGTTACCAATAGAAAAATAGACCCTTTAGTCTTTGGGACTCCCATGATACCAAACTAACTAGTGCACACATTCTCCTATCTTCTTCTTAGGGATGCTGCTATAACTAGGTAATGTTTAAGACTATCCCCTCCTGATGAAGTCTTCCTCTGATCCCTAGTCCATAGTAGACACCATCAGACTTCAGAGATTTCTGATCCAGTGTGAAATTGGTGTTTTCCATCTTCTGTCCCAAGCCTGAGATGCATACAAACAGTATGTGGCAGTTTGATGTCAACTATGATGACAAGAAGAGCTGGGGAACTTGTTTTTACAAGCCATGATTTTTTTTTCTGGTGGGGAAGGTATGTCTGCATTACCCCAACCCCCTTGCTTTTTTGGCAGGGCATTTTTTTCAACAGGGCAAGGTCAGTGAGTTAACATTGAGCTACCATCACTAGAACCAGTCTTCAAAGCATCTTGCTCATCAACTTCACCCCACCCTGTGGATGATTTGAACCATCTGATTTATGGCAATGTAGAGCAGTGTTTCTCAACCTTGGCAACTTTAAGAAGGGTGGATTTCTCCTCCCAAAATTTCCCAGCCAGGCTCCAAGCCATCTGCCTGAAAGTTGCCAAGAAATACTGAAGCAGACTGATAGAGTCTCCAAGTTTCTATCAACCATCTCTCTGAATCAGATACTACAGGTACTCCATGTCAGGAGGGAGGCTGGTAATTTCCAGTAAAACAAGAAAATATAACCTCTCCTATTTTACTGGACTGCTCTCCCCTTAGCCCATTAGAGCTTTCATTGTATCACCATTGTAGATCAGCCATTGCAGGTGATTCACAGGAAGGGTACATTAGTTGAAATTGAAAGCTCCAACCGACCTTAGATCAGGTTCTCCTAGCTCAGGGGTCTTCAAACCTGGCTCTTTTATGACTTGTGGATATCAACTCCCAGAATTCCTCAGCCAGGCATGGTGGCTAAGGAATTCTGGGAGTTGAAGTCCACAAGTCATAAAAGGGCCAGGTTTGAAGACCCCTGTCCTACATGATTAAATCCACTGATCTAACTATCTGTCTTATTCCCATTCTCCATTAGAAAAAGTGATTAATTTTTCTGTTGGCAAGGATATTCAGCACCTTATCTTTTTTCCATAGTACATTCTTAAGAGAAAGTCCATTCACTGGCATTGTTAATGAGGTTGAACAGAGATGAGCTATGAATTTAGGCTGGCATACTTTGAAATGACTCATAGACTGGAGAACAACCCATTAAGCCAACTGTCTGAATATGCCCAAAGTGTAGAAACATTCCATTTCCCAGCTGCGAGCATTTGATTAGCAGTTATATTTAAGCACAAAAAGACTTTAGAAATGTCTCCATAAGGGAAAAAAAATCAAAAGGTTGTCATTTTTCCTGAACACCTATAATTTCTTTATTTTAGTGCATAGGATAGGTCTCTTGACATCTCTTTAATTGAGTCTTAATGATTTCCTCAATACCAGGTGATGGAACTTCAGGATTATAAATGGAACATGGATTTCCCACTTCTAAATAAAGGATTAGTTCTTTGTCAAATTATAAAATGAACTGGTGGAGATGCCACTGAGAAGGACTATTATGAAAAATCAGAGTTGGGCCATTCATAAGGAAGAGGGGGGTAAGGAAGGGCAAATAATGATACCTGTGTGATGACTTTATATTCATACTGTCATCTATGTCATTTTGTTTTATGGATGCTGCTTGACAAAACAGTCATTTGTCTCAGCTGAACTGTGGTGCCCAACATCACCTCCTCATTGTTCTTTATAATAAAATTTTGTCCTACGATGCTGATTCATATGTATTTATATCCTTTCATTTTTTACATTGGTGCCACTGCTTTTACCCAAAAAGATCTTTTTTTTCTTTAAAAAAATAGAACTGATTTCACCTGTTACATTATCAAAGGATTTCTGTATCAGAAATAAATTTACTTGGATTTCTTTCCACATAAAAGCTTGGAGATCATTTAACATTGGAAATAGAGAGACACTGAATGGAGACACTAGCAGCTCCTCTCTTGCAGCAAAGGGCTTTCGAAGTGTCCGGCCAAACCTACAAGAAAAGAAATCACCAACTCAGGTAAACAGGACGCTGTATACAGTCACACTTCCACTTTCAATGCTGTGTTTTCAAAAACGGGTTATTTCCTTTGGATGAATGTTTCCTGGATGCTATCCTAACCTTACTTATATTAGTCAGGCACACATACATCTGACATACATCTACATCTTGGCTATATGGACAAAAAGTATACTACTTATACACCGTTTGTTATTATCTCCTACTCTAAATTTGTTTCCTGGAGTAAAGCATCCAGCTATGAAATGTCCTTTGACTTAAAAATACTGGCATAGACCTCTTTTTCTAAATAAAATAAAATAAAATCCTGCTCCATCTTATCTGATCTGATGTTTTCAACATGCATTAAACTGCAAGCTCACCGTTCTTAGTCTTGAAAATGTGACACTTGTGCAACACCAGGTTAGGAGCAGTTGTTTTACTGAAATAATGTATGCTTCAAAAAAAGGAGCAGTTTGGAGTTTCTGGGCTCAACAATTCCAGGGAAATTCTGTCTCTGTACTCTCCTGCTCAGAAGTGGGCCACAGTTTGGACGTTCTCCTAGATATTAGAGGCATAATTGTTTAAGGAGGAAGTGGCAATTATAGCTAAGAAGACTTTTACACAAGTACAACTTGTTTGCCAATTGTGGTCTTTCCTATAAGACCCTACTTACAGTTAGTCATGTCCTAGTCATATCCCATTTAGATATTTGTTCTAACCCAAATCACTCTGGCAAGACAGATGTTAAGTAGAGTCCATTTATTGCACACTTAACATGGCGCCAAATGACCCACCAGTGGTGTCAGTGAAGCTCAGCCCCAGCCCTCAATTTTGACTCAGTCTAAATTCCCCGGTTCCAGGAACTAAGTCCTAGCTGATCCACGAGGCAAAGAGGGAAGTAATAATACCCACAAATACCAAGTCTGCAACACAAGTCCAGAGTTCCAGAAACCAAAGCAGAATCCAAGAGTTCGAAGTCAGAGAGCCAAGTCCAAAGTTCACAAGTGAAGTCCAAAGTTTGGCTAAGAAACACGATCCAAGATTCATAAAACAGTATTTACAAAAGCTGGGAAGGCGCACATTCAAAGCAAACGGGTTCCAGACAAACACATCTTACCCTAGCGTCTGGTTAAATTGGCCTTTGCCAATTTGTTGTTGTTCCTTGTGAGGAAGAATGGGCTGCTTCTTCATAAGCAGCCTTGCTGACCTCCTCACCTGCAGGTCAGGCAGGGGAGGCAGCTGTTCCTTGTCAGAGGTGGTCTGGAGTCTGTCATCTCTGCTGCCCTCTGCAGCTAATCCACTGCTGCAGGCGGCTCTCCGTCCAATCGGCTGCACCACCACCCCATTGCCAGACAGCCCGGGGATTGCCCCTGGACTCTCCACTTGTTCAGAAGGGATGATGCCATTCCTGACAGATGGTCCCAGTTCCAACTCCTCCTCCAAACCGGGATCCTGCATAGCCATGACACCATTCTAACACACTATTCATTGGGCTGCCCTTGAAAAACAACTAAAAACTTTAGCTGCTGCAGAATGCAGTGGCCTGAGTAGAAATAAATGTATCTCAATACATTCAAGTTACCCAGGTGCTTTACAAGCTACACTGATTACCAGCTGGCTTTCACCTATAATTCAAGGTGTAGTTATTATTCTTAAGGTCCTACATAATCTTCAGATCTGATATCTAAGGGACCATATTCTCCTATATTCCTCTGCTAAACCAGTCAGATCAAATAGGGACAATTCACGGCAGGTCCCGGGTTTGCAGAATTGTCACCTGAGAGGCCTCAAAGGTGGGCATTCTCACTGGCTCAATTCTTTCAGCTCTATCAAACTTTGCTTAGTAGAAATTCTACCTACTTTATTTTTCCAAAGTTTCAGGGAAAAAATGGCATACTTACCTCTTTCATCATGTACAGGAGATGGATGCTCTTTGACAGGAAGGAGGCTTGGAGGCTTATGGTATTTTTATTTGTTGGAAGTTATTTTTTATCTGTATTTGTATGTACTTGAAGTTTGGGAGATAGTTTATCTATTTGCATTGTTAGCTGCCTAAAGTGTGCAGGATGGGCAGCATACAAGAATTGTTAAGTAAATAAATTAATAATTTTGGGAGTTATGTGCATGCACACACATATGGATTTGCACCAGAATAGTTTATTTGCATGATCTATCCCATGCACGTGCATTTTTTCCTCTCTGCCTTAACAGTTCTGATAGCCAGTAGATTTGTTCTAAAAGTAAAATATTTTATACTCATGTTGTTACACAGAAAGAGTGTGTATTTGCAGTAAATTAAGTAAAAGCTACATTCAACTCAATGTTACATTTTTAAAGGTAGAGATGTAAAATGTCAATAAATATGTGCTAATTTTCCATCTAGCAAAATAAAATATTTTCTGGAAAGTTGTAGTTTGCAGCTTGATTCAAGAGCGCTGATTACTATGCCAGAGTTTATATTAGTGCCTAGATTTTGAAAGACAACTCTGTTTACTTTCCTGCTAATGTTTTGCTTTGTCTCTTTTTCCTGTAATATTCTTTTGTTGTGTGGATGCTTTTGGCAAATAAGGCACCCTCCCTACTCCCTAAGAAAAAAAGTTTTGGTAGATTTGGAATATCTAATCTAAAGAAGAGTGGAAGTAACTCCTGTTCTGTAACAACCAAACAAACTAAGCCATATCCTGATGGGAACTACTCTACTAACAAGGAGTTTCTTCAGAGGACAATTTATTCTAAAAAGTCTAACACAAAAATGTCTTGCACGCAAAAAAGCATGAAACCACTGGCCTCAGTTTCTAGCACAAAAACAATAGCTGGCATTAGAACTATTGTTCATCAAGGCCACAAACAGCCTCAGAAACGTAGAGTTTCTACCCTGAAATTAACTCAGGCACAAAATGCATCTAGTAGTGTTCCTTCTCATACACAGCAAATGCCTGAGTCTGGTGGTGCCTCAGCAGCTCCATGGAGGTCTGCCTCACCTGTCTGTAACCCCGTGCCTGAGATACACAAAGCATCTCTCTCCATTCAGATAGCTCCCATCCCTGAATGCCAACATCATCCATCTAGATTTTCTCCAGACCCTTCAAAGATGCCAGCAGAAAATATGCAACAAATGTCTGATGCTCCGGCTGCGCAATGCCATGTGGTATATTATCTTTATCTCTTTCTCTCTCTTTTTAATTTTAGCTCTTTCTTGTATCACCTAACTCCTTTCTCTTTAGCGTACTCACGTGATTCTGACAATGACCACAAATCCTGGGTAAAACTACCTGTCACAATAATGAAAGATCTGTATTATTATTATTATTATTATTATTATTATTATTATTATTATTATTATTATTATTATTATTTCCAAATACATTTCCAGCCCATCTTAGTCCAAAGAAAGAAGAGAGACAAAGAACATAAAATGTTTCAGTCCTAGAAAGAAAACATTTTCCTGCGTTTTAAATAGGCAAAGTTGTGATCAATAGAAAGGAGGCTGCATCAAAAAAACACATCATAAACTTTCTGATTATCACTAATTAACAGCAGTGCCCATGTTGAAAGGCAGTGCACAGAATCAAAAGAGACGTCTCTGGTATCCTAAGGCTACATGGAAAGTTCACCTATCCATTTCCCACACAGTTATTTGCATTTAAAAGTTGGGAGACACACCAATATGGCATTTTATTAAGAAGAAGGATTTTGTGCTGAATTAGAAAATCAATGACATTTTACAGAAATATTTGGTATAGGAGTATTTTGAACAGCACTTGTCCAAAATACTCCTATACCAAATATTTCTGTAAAATATTTGGTATAGGAGTATTTTGGACAAGTGCTGTTCAACAGCACTTGTCCTGTCTATGTCCTGGGTCTGTACTATTAAAAGGGACACTCTCACCTTTCCCCTTTTATTGCACTGAAGTGATAAAAGAGAGAAAGGGCAGGTACACATACATTTTTGACATTTCTCCATAAAGCTCTCAATTCTCTGAGAAAGGTTGCAAACTGAATAGTATTTTATGCATTGATTTTGAATGAATAGAAATTAACTGTTAATAGCACACAAGTGGGTTGGCTTACCAACTCAGAAAGCAACAGAGACAGAGAATTATAGATAAAATAAATCATAATGGTAAATTGGTATATCAGAAGGAGTTGATTAAGAAATCTTTTCTAGATTATTATCAAAAATTATATAAGAGTACTAAAATACAGGTCTCAGATATAGATAATTACTTAAATGAAACCAACTTCCCCAAATTAACAGAAGATCAGAAACAAGAAATTAATAGTCCAATTACTAGTGAGGAAATTGAGACAGTGATTAAAGAACTAAAATTAGGTAAAGCACCGGGTACGGATGGTTTGACATCTATTTATTATAAAACTTTGGTACAAGAGATGATTCAACCTTTAAGACAGCTTTTTAATAATATATTACAGGGTTTAGAGATCCCCCCGTCATGGGGCAGAGCCTTTATATCTTTAATTCCAAAAGAAGATCAAGATCTTACTCTACCAAAGAATTATAGACCTATATCTCTTTTAAATGTAGATTATAAGATTTTTGCAAAAATATTAGATTATACATAAGGATCAAACGGGTTTTATAACTGGAAGGTATATGAAGAATAATGTCAGACAAATTATTAACTTATTAGAATATCTAGATAAAAATAATCAAGTCTCTGCAGGATTGATATTTCTAGATGCTGAGAAAGCTTTTGACCAATTGAATTGGCAATTTATGTTAAGACTAATCGATAAATTGAACTTTGGAGAAAAAATTTCACAAGCTTGGTGCTATTTATCAAAAACAAACAGCACAACTTATAGTTAATGGGGGCTTGTCAGAGGTTTTTATAATAGAAAAGAGGACTAGACAGGGATGTCCATTGTCACCTTTGCTGTTTGTTTTAACTTTGGAAATATTGTTGATTAAAATTCGAGAATCACAGCAAATAAAAGGAATAGAAGTTAACAAAAAAGAATACAAACTAAGAGCTTTTGCAGATGATTTGGTGGTTACCCTGTCCCAACCTACTCACTCCGTAATAGAGTTATTACAATTGATATATCAATATGGACGGGTTTCAGGTTTTAAAATTAATAACAATAAGACTAAAATATTACCCAAAAATATGACTAATATGGATAAGCAGACTTTGGTTAATCTGACAGATTTTGAGGTTGTTGATAAGGTAAAATATCTGGGGGTTACTTTATCTGTCTCTAATGTAAAATTGTATAAAAATAATTATGAAAGGTTGTGGGTCAGGATACAAAGAGACTTGAAAAGTTGGGAGAAGTTGCAATTATCTCTTTTGGGAAGAATTGCGGCGATTAAAATGAATGTTTTGCCAAAGTTTCTTTTCTTATTTCAAATGATACCTATCTTAAAGAATGAGGTGAATTTAAATGAATGGCAGAAAGGTATCAATAAATTTATCTGTGCGGGGAAAAAACCAAGAGTAAAGCTTAAAATTATACAAGATATTCGTGAGAGAGGTGGACTCAAGGTACCGAATTTGAAATTGTATTATGATGCTGTGGCCTTAACATTAATTAGTGATTGGATTAATTTAACAAATGTAGAAATACTCCTCTTGGAGGGTTGGGATTTACTTTTTGGATGGCATGCCTATTTAATTTTTAATAAAAAAGTTGACCGGGTTTTTAAATCCCATATTATAAGGATTTCTCTACTTCGGGTTTGGAGGAAATATTACAGAAGTGATTCTAAAATACCATTATGGGCTATACCTTGGCATGCGATAGAGGGGATAAGGAGAGGAGTTAAGATGGATAGTGTTTCTTATGCACAATTGCTTAGATGGGATGGTAAAATTTGGAGTTAAAATCTTTGGAAGATTTAGCACAAGAAAATATTATATATTCATGGTTTCAGTACAGACAAATAGCGGACAGATGGAAGATAGATCGTAATGTGGGCTTGCTTAGAGAAGATGAAAATTTTGTTAAACAAGTAAAAGATCAAAGACGAACTCATATTAAGAGAATTTATGGGTTGCTAGTAGAATTGGACTCAGAACCAGAATTAATTAAAGAATGTATGATTAAATGGGCACAAAATTTTGGTGAACCAGTTCTACTAGATACCTGGGAAATCATCTGGGTGAGAAATGTTAAATTTACACAAGCCCAGAACTTAAGGGAGAATTTTTATAAAATGTTTTATAGATGGCACCTTGATCCACAAAAAATGTCTCGTATGTATCCTGACTTACAGCCCAAATGTTGGAGATGTGGTTGTTTGGATGCTACTTATTACCATATTTGGTGGTCGTGTAAAAATATAAAAGCCTTTTGGATTAAGATATGGTGGAATATTCAAAGAATTTTTAGAAAGAGGGTAAAATTTACCCCACAATTGTTTTTGCTAGGTATTGTTACCGATTGTGATACTAAGGAGGTTATATTGATGTTAAATTTAATTACAGCCGCAAGGTTGTTAGTAGGGCAATACTGGAAGAAGGAATCTTTGCCTACTTTGCAAGAGTGGTTTTTTAAAGTATCCTATCTGGCGGAAATGGCAAAGATTTCGGCTTTTTTAAAGGATCAATCGCAAGAGAAGTTTTTTGTGGTATGGGAAAAATGGATAGATTTTATACAACATAAGTTGGATATAAAAAATATTACTTAGTTTATCAATAATTTATACACAAATTTTAATATTTTATAGATTGTATTATTTTTTTTCTTTATATGTTTTATTATTATTTTACTTTCTTATATTTCTTTTCTTCTTTCTTTCTCTTTATTCTTTTTTTAGATATTTTTTTCTTTAATATTTATCTCTTTTTAATATATATATATTATTGTTAATTATTCTATTAGTAGTTTAAGTAATGTATTTAGACTTATCTATGGTTTATATATATATATATATATATATATTTAAGAATTCAAGAAAATTTAATTAAGCCTATATTCAGCTCTGGGAAAGTTGAGGGAGGGAGTGGGAGGGTTGGGGTGGGTTGGGAGGGTTGGGGTGGGTTGGGGAGGGTTGTTTTTTCTTATTTTGTAAAATTTTATAAATTTTCAATAAAAAAAAATAGCACACAAGTGGATGTGGGCGTATTTCGCTTAAGGCTGCTGCAGTAGTTAGGTCTTTGGCAGAGAAGCACAAGTTTTAAATAGTTCCTATTTATGCATCAAGAGGAAATACCAGTTATACCAATACAGTATAACTGACTAAAACCAGAATCATTTTATAGGTCCAATAACCAGAATCATTTTATAGTTGGCACCCTTCTTATTTTAAAATTGTTTTAACACTTTATGTTTAAAGTGTACTTAATCATGTCTGACTCTGAGATTTAGTATTTCTCAGAAGAATAATTCATGGCAAGATGGAAATAATACATAAAGCATTTTGATGAATGAAGGAGTTTAAGATTAACAGTTAATTAGTTATATGCCATTAAGTCAGATTCAGTGCCTGGTGACTACATGGACAAATGCTCACCATATTGACCTTCTTTCAAATTAACTTATAGCTGTTCCAAGAACATTCTGCTAATCTCTTTGATCCTGTTAATTTATGTCATCTGTTGACTTCTGTTATTCTTCTCTCAATCTTCCAGTCATAATATTTTTGAAATTTCTGCTTTCTAATTATCATATCAAGTGAGCAGTCAGTTTTTATTGGTTCAAGGCTGGTTGACTTAGTCTTCCTGAGGATCATGCTGCTCTTAGCAACTTACTTCAGAGTCATAATTCATTGGTTTCCATTTTCTTTCACCCATTCTTTCTTAAGTGTCCAGATTTCATATCTTTCAACTGGAAAGACCATTGCTGTAACTATTTTTTTATTGCAATTTAACTGTATTCCTCTTTCATGTCCTTGTCTAAGTTCCTTATTGCATTATTCCAGAAAATTAATCTCTACACTCTTAGCATGCTTTCTATTTTTATTCTTGAGCCCCCCCCCAATAAAACTATCTATTATGTTTTTCTTTAAGATTAAATTTACTGTTGTCTTCTTCATGTTTAGTATTAACCCAGATTTTTTACTTTCCATTTTCACCTTCAGAATTAAATCTCCTAAGTCTCCTTTATGTTCAGCTGACAAGGGTTCCCATCTCCCTAGGAGAGTCCATTTAGATCTCAGTCAAGCTGTTCAGGAAAGTG